CCATCCCCATGTCCCCCGTCCCCCCACTTCCCCCGTCCCCCCGCGTCACCCGTCCCCGTCCCGCAGGGCATCGGCTGCTACATGTTCCGCATCGACGACCTGGAGGTGGTGGACGCCACCATGCACGGCAGCGCCGCGCGCTTCATCAACCACTCGTGCGAGCCCAACTGCTACTCGCGCGTCATCCACGTGGAGGGCCACAAGCGCATCGTGATCTTCGCGCTGCGCCGCATCCGCCGCGGCGAGGAGCTCACCTACGACTACAAGTTCCCCATCGAGGAGCCGGCCGCGAAGCTGCCCTGCAACTGCGGGGCCAAGCGCTGCCGCCGCTTCCTCAACTGAGCGGCCGGGGGGCGCCCGCGGCCTCGGGAGGGGCAACCGGGATCTTCGGGAGTCAACCGGGATCTTCGGGAGTCAACCGGGGCCTTCAGGAGTCAACCGGGATCTTCAGGACTCAACCGGGATCTTCGGGAGTCAACTGGGATCTTGGAAGGGTCAACCGAGACCTTGGGAGAGTCAACCGGGGCCTGGAGAGTCAACCAGGGCCTTGAGAGAGTCAACCGGGGCCTTCGGGAGTCAACCGGGATCTTCGGGAGTCAACTGGGATCTTCAGGAGTCAACTGGAGCCTTGGGAGAGTCAACCGGGATCTTCAGGAGTCAACTGGAGCCTTGGGAGAGTCAACCGGGATCTTCAGGAGTCAACTGGGGCCTTCAGGAGTCAACTGGGGTCTTGGAAGGGTCAACCGGGGTCTTGGAAGGGTCAACCAGGGCCTTGGAAGAGTCAACCGGGGTCTTCAGGAGTCAACTGGGATCTTGGAAGAGTCAACCGAGACCTTGGAAGAGTCAACCGGGGCCTTGGGAGAGTCAACCGGGATCTTCGGGAGTCAACTGGAGTCTTTGGGAGTCAACCGGGGCCTTGGACAGTCAACTGGGGCCTTCAGGAGTTAACCAGGGTCTCGGAGAGTCAACTGGGGCCTCGAGAGTCAACCGGGGCCTTGGAAGAGTCAACCGGGGTCTTCAGGACTCAACTGGGATCTTCGGGAGTCAATTGGAGACTGGAGAGTCAACCGGGGCCTTGGGAGAGTCAACTGGGGCCTTCAGGAGTCAACTGGAGTCTTCAGGACTCAACTGGGATTTTCGGGAGTCAACTGGGCCCTTTGGGAGTCAACTGGGCTCTGGAGAGTCAACCGGGGTCTTGGAAGACTCAACCGGGGCCTTCAGGAGTCAACTGGGATCTTGGAAGGGTCAACCGAGACCTTGGAAGAGTCAACCAGGGCCTTGGAAGAGTCAACTGGGATCTTGGAAGGGTCAACCGGGGCCTTGGAAGAGTCAACCGGGGCCTGGGGAGTCAACCAGGGCCTTGGAAGAGTCAACTGGGACCTTCTGGAGTCAACCGGGATCCTGGAAGAGCCAACCGGGCCCTTCAGGAGCCAACGGGGATCTTGGGGACCCGGCGGGAGCCTTGAGGAGCCGGGGGGGGGGCCACGGGGAGCCAATGGGGATCGTGGAAAAGAAG